TCTAATCAATCCCACGTATAGAGTGATCAGCTGGTCGGTGGGCGGAGATCGCCAGACCCGCCAACTTTGAGGCATAATAGGTCGCCGAGGTCAAATTTTTCGATGCGAATTGCGCATCAGTTCGCACCCTCAGGAGGTCCGTGGGTTACTCAACTAGGTGAATTACTTCTTCCTCGACCTCCATTCTAATCGTAAAATCCTCCTTTAAGCGAATCGCAGAGCGTTTTGCTGCGAGCTTCTTGCGGTACTTGCCGCAGCATTATGACGGTCACCCGGCAACGCGGCTTGCGTCCGCGACGCTGGTGAGCTTTTCTTTCCGCTTTCTTCGGAGACCTCAAATGGTCCCTTTTGAAAAGAATAATCCACAAAAAGCGGAAGCCGGAGAAATCTTGGCATGGGATAGGAATGGGCTCACCTCTTTCCCCTCCTTGTCAGGGGTGTTCTAGGGCAATCCTCGTGGAGCTTCTGGCTGCGTGATAAAACAGTCCATTGAATACGTCAGTACCAGTCGAGTTCCTTGCCAAAGCGATGCAAAAAACACCAAATTGATCGTTCTGGTCAGTCCTTTGTTTCTGAAGGAGCTGTAAGTCTGGCTCTAGAACAGATTTTTAGAAAAATCTATATTTATGAAGAAAATCACATACCTGATCTGGACGTTTCTTGACATTTGGCGCTTTATATCCCTTGAGAATGAAGCTATTCTTCACAAAAGCAACATTACGGGCGCTTTGACGGGGGTACAACCGCTATAGCGCCCATAGACCACCTGAAAGCGTATTGACGTGATTGACACGACCACCATGATCACCAATAGCAATCATATCAACCGCATAGCCTCGTATCCAACCGGTTATGGATCCTCCAAAAAAGTGGAATTATGGTCATCAAAATAAAATGCTCCATATCTGCGGACTACGCCATGCATACCACTTTTTACCAAAACCGTAGAGCCTATTCAAAAGCCTCTGAATATTTACAAGATCCGGTACTAGAAATCGGGCGACGACCAAGAATTGACCCACCAGAGTGGCTTAGAGTGACCTGAGAATTTCGAAGATATGAACAGTTAGGTTGGGCCGGATGAGATCCGATCCCAAAAGCCGAGTCACTGCAACGTAGCGCTTCAAGCCATTTCGCTACCCATTTTCCCTCTGGGCTCTATACAAGTAGGGTGGGCACGCCAGGCTTTTCAGGCATGTCAAGTGACT